GATTTCATTGTCTACCTAGTTTTTTTTTTATAAAGGTAATGGTTAGTAGGTTAGTATTGTTAGATGTTAACAACTGGAGATTCGATCCTTAGACCGAGTAAACATTTCACCCCCTCAAATGAGATACGCGGCTATCAAGTCACTTTTTAGTGGAGTTCACGACGGTAGTAGAGTTTGAAACTTCAACCACCTCACCTAAGCATTTAAAGCTTGGGTCGAACCATTAAACTTAAAGATTCGGTTGCTTTTGTGTTGATCCTCCATGCGTCTTTCTCAAAATTTCAATCTGTAATTGATTATTATAACTTTCAAAAGTGGCGGTAGAACTTTGTAAACAAATTACAAAGATTGGAACTTGGAAGTGTGCCGCATAATCATGATTACTTCCATTTCAATGAACGACATTATTAGCTGGTGAATGGAATTGGTGTGAAAGATCTCGAATCTCCTTCCTTGTTTGTAGTACAGGGACTCAGGGAGAGCGGGACGGAGAAACCAAGGTTCGAACTTTAGACCTTGGGGTACCATCTCTCAGCGGCTATGTGATTGGGATTTTGAGTCTCCTTGGTTTGTTTATTTTTATATACATATATATAAATAATTTTAGATTGTATAATAGAAGTATATATAAGATCTTAGATTGCATAATAGAAGAAAAAATGATGCTAAGGGCATAAGCTCTAAACCTTTGAAAAGTTAACATATTAGTACTCTATTTTTGGATTAAATATATTTTGATCTTCAATTTTTTTTTTTTTAATTTTTAATACTCAACTTTTATTTTTATATAATTTTTTCTTAAATATTCTATTTCATATCATTCATTTTCTTATCTCTTTATTCATCATATACTACTTTCATGATGGTGAGAAAGATAAAAATAAAAAATAAAGATTAATTGAAGGATAATTTATAAATTATTATTTTGATTGTTTTTTGTTTCAACAATTATTGTTTAGATTGTATTTTGAATTATTATTTTGGCACGTATGTTTAATTATTTCTAGGTGAAATTAAAAAAATACATAAATATTATTAAAAAGTATTTATAATTAAGAGGGTATAATAATAATTTTAACTCAATTAAAAAAAATTATTAATTTAGACTAAAACTCCACAATGTTGTATAGCAACTAGTGATTTTGAATTTTGCCCCCCTACAAGAATGTATGGTTCTGCTATTAAATGACATAACAAGTAATTTTTTTTCTTTTCTTAATTTATGTCAACTTATATATCATATTATCTATTTCCTCAAAAAGTCTTAGCGGACCCTAACAATGTGAGGATGAGAAAAAAAGCGTACCACTTGCTTTGTTTAAAAACAAGAAAATATGATTTTTCAAACGATTTTTCTCCTTTCCAACTATCAACTTTCAAAATGATGGTTGGAAAGAATATTTGTAAAATAGATTATGCCCCATAACAAAAGGTGGAGTTTTGTAAAATGGGTTATTAATTACCTTGGACATCTTTAAGGACTTTACAACTACTAAAGTATAACAAAAGTTACAAATCTTAAATTAAACGGCAATTAATTTAACACAAAACAAATAAAAGAAAATAACATACCATGGAAATAAACTCACAAACAATAGATTGTGCAAGATTATAGACATTGATTTTAATTTCATGATCTATAACAATTAAACTAATTACTCACAAATTTAAAATAAAAATAATTAAACTACTTAATAACCAAAACTGAAAAAAAATCTACAAAATAATTAAAGTTTGAAAACTTATAAAATTAAATATTAATCTAAAAATTAAAATTAAATAAGTTGCAAGTTTGACAGTCGTGCAAAAGCAAAGAAAAGAAGGCAAAAAGTATTGAATCTATTTACATAAATAAATAACAGAGATGAATCAATAAAAAAAAAAAAACTAACTAAATCAACAGGTGATTCATTTTCAAGGTTGATCTACTTCTAAATATTTAAAAACTAAGCAAAGTTACAATATTTAAAGAAAAAAATAAAAAAACCGAAATTAAAACTATAAACAAGATCAGATCTTACACTTTAATTTATAAATTATGCTGAAACTTGAAAGAAACAGTCTAAAGATTCAACGTCAGAGACATTTTTCCACCGTCCCAGAACCGAAGTGGTTTGGAAATTACAAGAAAAGGAAAGTCGTGATCCACACGCTCGGGGATTGCTCCAATCCTCCGGTGGTGATTAGAGTGGCTGCCGCCGCAGCCGCCCTGCTGTCGGGTCCGCCACTATTTCGGCTCTTACATCACTTTGTCGAGCTTAGATTCATAATTATCGAGGTAATATTTTATTATCAAATTAATGTTAATTTAAAGAATCCTCTCTTTTTGGGCATTTTGGAAGGACAGGATGCGCTAATGTGACGAATAAAAAATAGTAAGTGAATAAATAAATAAAATTGAT